ATTGAAAATAAGATCGGATTGTTAGATCGTTTATTTCAAAATAAATACGTCATCAATTTCAATTAAAATTAGATTCCCGCATTTTAACTTTGAAACCCCCTATTAGATAAGTTTTAAAAATCGTAAATGGCTAAGTTTATATGCAAGATTTGGATCTCTTTAATTCGGCATTATATATTAGCAGTTTCTGAAAACAGTGTTGTACATTGGACAGTTTTGGATAATTTTGGACATTTTTTCAAATTAAAAAAAAAATTACTTAAAATTTTATTAAGATAATCTATTTTAATTTTTTTAAAAATAAATCCTGCATTTAAAAAAAATATATAATTATATATTTTTTAAATTAATTTATTGATTATTTAAACTTTGGGTTTTGGACAATCTTGGACGCTTGGACAAAAACATAATATGGACACGCCCAATGTACAACACTGTCTGAAAAGACCAATTTTGGCTAAAAACAAATTTAAATTTCGATTAATATTCCTATAAGAAAAATGTACCGAATCGGCACGGGTTAGTTTCGGATAGGCACGGGCCTTTGTGGCACGGTCAAGATCTGGATTTGTACGGGTATGGTCCGAGTTGGTACGGATTCGGTGGACCGTGTGAGACCGTATGCCCATGCCAATTGGACCGTAAATGGCACGGGTTTTGCAGCAGTTTACTAGTCGAATTGGTGGCACGGGTAATGATATGTAAATTCACGTACTGAACCACCGCGATAACAAATACAAATTTGTGAATTAAAGATTAAACAAACTAACTGCATATGAAGTAAAATTTTGTAAGGAGTTTTTTTTAAGATACCCAGAGCAGCTTCATAAGTGAAATTATGAGATATTGCACTTTTTTAAAAAAAATCTTTTATTGATCTTTCGCTCTCCGCGAAACGAACCAACGCGTATCACGAGCCAACACGTGTGCAACGTACAAATACGTGCCATCTGAACGTGCCATTCCGTATGTCGTGATACAACGTGCCACCCCTTGCTGTAATCTCCGTGCTATTTATTTACCCTGGGTGCCGCACAAATAATGCGCGGCAGATCCTCGATTTAGATTGGCATTACAAAATTGTTTACTAAATTCCGGCCGGAATTAACTTTTTAATTTTTTCATTACAAAAATAGATTTCTTTAAAAAAAATAAGCACGCACTATGGTAAAATTTGCCCAGGAACAAGTTTCACTTAATGGTCGGCTGCGATTTCATTAGTAAAATTACGAGTAATTCCGGCTTAATTTTTTTAGCCAGTCAAATAGGATATGTAAACAAACATCAGCGATTGGCTGGGAATACCCATCAGTCTACCGGATCAGCCCGACGGGTCACCCGGGTTGAACGGGACAAAATATTTTTTGTGTGGCACCTAGGTTCAATATGCCATTTTTTACCGTGCCATTTCGTAAAATGTGCCTGCATGTGCCACACGATCCATGCCATCTCGTGCATTCCCGAAACCGACCCGTACCACTTTTCTTATAGGGTATAAATTTGGTTTATATCAAATAAGTCACAAGAAATTTGCAAAGAAAAAATACTTTTAAAGCATAAAATTTACAATGTAATAATGCAAGTTTTAATATTAATAAATTGCGAATATTACTGCATAATTATATTGGTTTCTTGCTCTGAAATGACAAATATGAACCGCTTGTGAACAGCGTTACAAGGCGGCGAGTTACTAGACTTCATGTTACAGTAAAGGTGCTTAGAATTTTCTGTTTGACATTGTGTTCTATGAGTGAGATAGTGATGGCGCAAAATTTTGCGATATTATGATCTTCAAGCCAAATCGGCATCGCAAACATCCGACGTAATGGTTGATTTGGTAGGGCAATGAAATAAATGTGTATCGTAGCTTCAGTTGCTACTGGAAGTTATATAGATTGAATGCAAGGTTTCTAATGAGCATAGTAATTTAGTAAGGGCAAGCTAACAATGTTGAAGATTTAAGGAAAGAAAACTATTATGACTATACTACTTTTACAGCAAACGAGATTTTTCTTTATTAAAAATAGATGTTTCACTTTTATATATTTTGGTTAATATGAAAAAACACTTCTGGAGCCTTATATATTACATAAGAGGCTTTACACTATCATGTTGGCCTCGTGTCAGTATACACGCCACTTCATACATGAGTTTTAATAATTGCGACACTAATTTAGTTAAATGTTTAATCTAAGGAAAATTTATGCAATGATTAAGGCAAATTTGAAAATGTGTCTTTTTTAACAAATCTTCTAGGCAATTATTTAGGCAAATTTTGAGAAAAAAAAACTATCAGAATTCTCCAAATAAAACAACACTTTAATAATATATCTTTATCAGTATTTAGCAAAAATATCTTTGTAAGTAGACAAAGATTCTTGAAATTAATATATAAAATCGAGATAAATTCGAAATAAAGTCGAAATTAAAATGTGATAAATATGTAACACCAATTAATAGTGCACTTATATGCTAAATAAGCATTTATAAATTAAATGCGTACATTTTTGAAATTAAATGTCAAAAATTATTAAAATACGCAATATCCTTATAATATCTTTAAAATTAAATTAAATGTGTAATATCTTCGAAATTAAATGAAAATAAATGCGTAATACGTATCTTCTAAATAAATAATAAATTAAATGTGTAATATCTTCGAAATTAAATGAAAATAAATGCGTAATATATCTTCTAAATAAATAAAAAAATAAGGAATATTTTAAAAGTGATTAAGTTGTAATAATACAAAAAAGATTCAGTGATACGCCCATCCCTAATCCACGTACACTGAGAAAGTGGGGACTAATTGTTCTGATCTAAAAACTAACTAAAAACACTAAACCATCAACTAAGCAATCTAATCTCTAACGTCAAGACGCCTAAAACCTTGAATTGGAAGGCGGAAAGAGGGCGTGGAAAGACTTGGTCCGAGGCTCAAGGTCTTTTTGGGTCTTGGAATAATGTTACCAGATTCAGATAAGTCCTAATGGTCCTTTTACTGCTTAGTTGCATTTGTGGTATCAATAATTCTAACACTAATGACTCTGATTCACTTAATTTCGAAAATATTATCGACTTCGGTTCACGTGTGACGTAATAGAGATAACTGGATTGATCGGTGTTTTAACCTTAGATCGTTAAGATTCTTAACGATATCAAGTGTTACGTAATCACGACTTCTGGCGGCGATCGGTGATTTAATCTAAGATCCTTGATTACGTCACGGGTAAGGGATATCGGGGATTGGATTTTCAATATATCGACGTCACGAGATTCTGATGTCACGGGTAATCATGTTGATCGAAGCAATTAATATGCAATAATGCATGATTACTGTTATTCTAATTAATGATAACAATGCGTCACAGGTATTATTAAGCTTTTAAATAAGGACAGGTATTTCAAATAAGGTCTTTTTACTTGTCTCTGGTTTCTTATAAGCGATAACAATGCTACACTACTATCGGGACAGTAATTGGGTTTATTCGGAACGTTTTGGGTCAAAGACATTATTTAAGGAACAACTTCTACTATGAGGATTTCGAAGTTTTAAACTCAACTGAGTTATCCTTTATTCAAGGTGAGCGGAAGCTCTTATATACATATTTTGTTCAGACTAAAAAAGATAAAATAGAATTTATTCAATCCATCGACTCGATAGAGTCGATGGAATCCATGGACTCCATGGACTCCATTTCGTCCATTTCCCACCTTTACTAACTAAAAATGGCAATTACTGCCGAAAGTAAATAAAAAAATAGAAATAGAACAGACCAATTTTTAATGGGGCTGCGCCAGATTCGCCCATCACAACGCGCGTATTTTTTGTTTAGATTTATATTTACAAACTATGCAGGCACAAGTTTTGCAACGTTTTATTGCACCACAGACTACACAACGTTTTAATGTGCCACAGTGTTCTAATCCGCCACAGCCTGCACAGTTTTTTATTGCGCCGCAGCCTGCGCAATAACCCATCCCTAATCCACGTACCTCTAGTACTTCATTATCTTCATTATATTTGATATTTACAGATTTTTTCTTGAACATTTGCCTGGCAAACCCAGATAATATAGATACTCTTTTAATTTGAAATACTTCATACTCCTCAATTTCAAAAATATTTTTGTCGATAATTTTTGTTTCGTAAGAGTGTTGATCACTTATACCAACAGCAAATCTTGGCGAACTATATTCTATCCACAAGTCACGGAAACCAAAACATGGTCCTTTGTTCATACACAAAGTGATTGCTTTTTTTTTAGAGTAGACACGGCTTAATCTTGGAGTTGCTCCATTAGATAATGAAGATAGTGAAAATATAAAACTTTTTGATGTTTCTTTGAACTTATATTCATCATATTCATCCATTACATCATCAAATAAATCTATATTTTTCTTGTTTTTTATTAAATCTTCTTCGTGCCAATCTAATGGATTATATCCACCAATTATTTCATTTGAATTTCGGACCTTAATTATGACAATGGTTTGTTCTTCACCATCACAAATCTCATGAAACTTATCAGCTCTAAATTCATTGCTGCTTGCTCGATAAATAAGTTTAAATTTGAAAGGTATATCCTTAAAACGATAAGGTATTCCTTTTTTTTCATCAATCCAACTTGCTATTAATGCTGCATCTTTAGCTTTGATAATTTTAGAATTAAAATAGTATACTGCTTCTCTTCTTGGTAGATTATTATATATAAATTTAGTATTTGATAAATGTTTGTAAATTTCATTAAGAAGTTTATCTGGCAAGATACATTTATATTTAGATATAACTAAGCGAAGTTCATTAATTGATAAATGGAAAAATCTAATGTGAGGAATACAATTATGTAGAACTTTTTCAA